AGTTGATCATCGAAATTATTCAATTCTGTTAGCGGTTATGTATGTGTACTTTAATTCAGGATTATTGCAGGCACTTTTGTGTTCCCAATTTTTTCAGAAAGCCAAATTTGCGTTCTAAGTACCGCAAAATTTTACCTTTCATTCTTTACACCATAATAATAGCAGGAGAACATATTCTAAGCATCGAACACATGGTGGTGAAGTCCGTTTTCATAAACAAGAAGAGGGTGCTGGATCTGCAGTATTGATGATTAATGAACAAAATCAGCTTTCACAATGATCTCAGAATCAAATATATCTGTCAAATCACTGTGAAAACCAGTTTCGTCTCGCTGACGTCGTCGTGACTAGGTAAATTCCTGTAAGACAGACGTGGAGGCCTCCACCGTTGGGATGGTGAAGTACTGAAAGAGTTTCAAAGGTTGTTGTTATTAATCAGCTAGGCATGCCCTCTAATTTGCCAAGTATTGTAATAAATTTTTAATTCAAAAGCATCTGTTAAATTTATGGAAGCATTACAAAATGTTAACCCTTCGCTGATCTGGTTCAGACAAATAATTTCAACTAAACCAGCAGCAGGAAATGTGTTGCCACTTATCTAGCATATTGCCAAATTTATCAAACACGTCAAACAAAATAAAAGATAAGGATACAAAGTAACAACATTTAATCTGTACTACACTGCACTCGGAAGGTGCAAGGGACACAGTGCACACATGAATTAAAATGCATTTGCAAAGGACGTTCAGCCATTCAGTGGTACGAAGTTCAACGATTTTGATTATTTTGTAACAGTTTGGAGCAAAGGCACTTGCTTTCATGAAAAAGGAAAAAAAACTACCTACTAGGTACATACGTTAAACAATGAGTAATCCACCTAATTTGCTTAATAGTTTTAAGAATTTTCAAAACTGAATCACAATTATTACACAACCCATTGAATAAGCAAGCGAACTATGAATGAAAAGACTACTTATCATTTTATTATCCAAAATTAAAATTACTATTATCATGTCTTGAAGTCATCGCGCTATTTTCGTTGCAAGAAGCCAGATATAGCAATCACGTTTCGAAATGATGATTAAAAAATTCTATACATTAATTATAAAATATATCATTTTTGTATAAAGATGTTCAGAGTTCTAACACATATGATCTGCTCTATATTAACAATATGTGCTGATTTATATGAATATTTGAAAAATTATTCATGCATTAATATTTAGGAATTCCAGGATGTCTAGCGACAAGTTGGCATTCTCGATGATTTAAAACAAACACTTGTCAATCAAGCATCACTAATGTGAAGCAGGCATCCTTTTAACGTCAGGAAATGGGTTGGGCATTTCGCAGACCAGTATTTTACCAGCTACAAACTCATCACATTTCCTTATAGATTTAATCGCGACAAAGTATATGCATATTTTTTGTGGAAAAAAAAAACAAAAACAAAAAACACTGTTCACATACAATATAGCAATAAGTTCCACCAGTTTGAATTCAAGCGTATATTATAATAAACTTGGTACGTATTTCCTTCTTAGTTAAAGCCGACAAGAAACAGTATCGTATTTCTGATGGACAAAATCACCAATTAGACCAAAAACGGTGCACAGATGTTAGAAAATGTTTAACAGACGTATTAACATATTTGCAAACAACAAATTGTCGCCGTTTTAAATTAAGAATAATAAAATGGGTCATACAGTACAAACAAAACCTTAAAAAATTAAAAGCCAAGAAAAAATCCACACGACAGGAAGTATCAGATAAGTCACTAGATAACCTTTAACATTAAATTACACTTAATGAAAATATCTCATATTATCCTCTTCAGAACATGCTTCAATTTCGAAAAAATTATTATCGAAAATGGTTACAATAACAGGAAATATTAGCCTTCATTTACAATAACAAGAATAAAAACAAATTATATCAATTTCTTCCTTTATCACGTTATAAAAATAATCCTTAATTTTATTTCACAAAATTAAAAAGACATCACTTGTACTTACAATGCAAGCTTCCGGTCCGGACCTGATGATTAAAAATTATTGATGAAGTGAATTGATATAATTGAACAAAAATGAGGGTTGGTATGTACCAATAAAATGTAAAAGAAAATGAACTATTGAAAAAATTACACTTTTCATTTGAGTTTTTTGTAGTAGTGACATCTTTTAGGAGTTTGTCCGAAGCTTGAAAGGCGACAACTTTTTGTGGATTTCGTAATGGTAGAATTTGAAGACCCTCAGCGCCACCACACCGTCAGCAACTTGACTAACTCTCAACATGATTGTTTAATCTTTACAGAACTCGCGGAGTGTATGAAGATAGAGAACTTTGGCACCCCTCCGCCAGATGGCGCCACATTCTACTGCACACAAACTAACCTCCTTTTGAACACACTTTTGTACGTCATTTAAATAAATTGTGTATGTGGTTTTCATGCAAAATTTAGGTTATTACTGCTAACAGGAAGTAGCATTATGTAATAAACGAAGTAATTTTACAGGTACATTGGTACATACCATAAGTATGGTCTAAGCAATGCGCAAGCATTCGTGAGAAAGTTCGAATGCGGTCATAGGAATGTAAACAAGCGGCCACCAATGCATTCTTGCTCTTGACCTTACCGCTTATTACAGGCTATGACGTAAGATCTGCATTACTCGGTGCAGCAATTCTTTGAATTGTTTTCATCGTTTTTTCCGTTTATGATATTACAGGAAAGAAAAGATGGATTCAAATATTCCAAATGATCTTTGGATTTTTTCTAGGTCATTTAGTCATGAAAACTAAAAATAGCAATATAACACGATCCAAAAATTTATAACTTACTTCATTTAAATTTTAATCACCCAATGATTCATCAATGTATCAGCTCTAATTGCAGAGGAAATTCTGAAAATTTCGTCATCAGACTACTTTTATTAAGATAAAATTCCATTTTGATTAGCAAGTAATTGTGTTCTTAGAATAACACATAAAGACCGTCACATTTTTTGCATTCAAATTTTTCAAATTTCAGCAAATTGTTCTTGCTACAATTGACATCGATGTATAAACAGATAAATGTGCCTTACTGTGTATTTTGCTATAGTTGCTGTTAAAATAGAAACTTCCCTCACAAATTTGCAAGATCTGCAAGTATCGACAACACAGAGAAACTAGTACATACTTCCAAATCCTAATCTTGAATCCTGTATTTCATTTCTGTAAATAAAACTTATTTTTGGAGTGACATAAACTCATAAGGTATTTATCTACCTTATTACGTAACAATTATCAAAATGTGTGGTTATAGAAGAACTCGTTTTGTCTACCGAATGGAAGAATTTCTGGAATGTTCACACAAATATTTACCTTACAGCAACGTTCAAATACTAAACAGGAAATACTTTATTTTCTACATTTGACCACGTGTCAAAAAAGGACACGCTATTCTGCGGGAAGGTACATTGAGAATCTGTACCGTTTTCTTAGTTTCATTGATTACGTGTGCAACTTTTTGGATTTTCTAATTACAAACTTCGGAAAGCAAATTCACCAAATTAAATAAATACCAACTAGGTCTCATTTTTTTTAAATTATTATAATATATATATATATATATAAGTAACTGGGTTTTCTTTCGTACCTCTACCTTTGAAACCATCATGATCAAGTATCAAAGAAATAATTTTGTTCACATGGAACACAACGCTAACATTGTTTTGACAAAAATGACAAAAAACGTACGTAAGCAATATTCAATACTTTATGGGTAAATTAAAACGCAGCAAAAAATAAAATGAACTTCAACAAATCAATCAAATCCGAAAAAACTATCTTTTCGTTTTTTGAATGAACCCATTGCTACTTTCCCATTAATAATAAAGTAGCAATGAACACAAGTGATCATATTTGCTAACAACTATGTTTTAGCAGTGTACCTTCTTTTTAAAACAAATGTTCTACAGCTTTCCATGCATAGTTACACCATTTGCCAAATTTGTTATGGTTTACTGATGTCCCTGTAGAGCAATTTCATCAACCTCATGTGGGATTATCAAACATTCCGCGAAATCCACCAAAGTTCAAAACATCCAAAATTTTACGAAATGAGATAGTGTCTCTAATATGTCGTGTTAAAATAGTAATGTTACATTCAGTTTGGCAAAATTAGCGCGAAACTGCCAACCCCATGACGCGAGAGGTGTTGGAATGTAACATTACCAACCTTTCTCTTCCAGAAAATGCATACTAATGATAATGAACTGCACTATAACTACGAACGCTCGAATCAGTAGTTCCCAACCTCAAAACTCGCCCAAATTAGGGTCGCGGATAATCTAATTAATGGCAAAGTTACATCATGTTAGTCACTGAACCGAAGTTCATTCTTTTTAAGTTTTCTCTCACTCCATGTACCACACCATTCTTTCAAATCCTACATAATTTTAAACACGGATATTTCTGCTATGTACTCTTTGATGTATGTCATACTAAAATCAAATATATATGAGTATCTCATATATTGTACATGCAGTTCACTCACTTTCCACAAATAATGTATGTACTATTACTACTGACATTTTGCTCGAGCCATGTGTTGTCACATAAAGAACATTTTTCAAACGACCCGCATTAAAGCGATGTAAAATCGCACACTCAGAAAAAACTAACTCAGTGGTTTAACAGTGTAAATGTTATTCGGACTCAGCCACCGTCGTAAGAAAAGCATACTGAACTACATGAGTACTCGCATGAGTTGCAGCATTCACCTTCGGCTAATGCTAATTCGTCTAAAGTTAATTAACTATTTTATAAATACAGTAAATTTTACCAATACTTTACTGTAATTATTTACAATTAGCAATTCAACTTTTTGTAGTTCAAAAGATATGCGTTTTAAAAATTTTTAAACTACGTATTAAATGTACCCTCTCATATTCACATACTATGTAATGTTTATTGAAAACGATATTGACAGAATTTGAAAAATATGAAGCTTGATACGTCCATCTTCAAAGTGCGGTAATACCAACATTTCTGTTGTGCTTTTTCTTCTTTTTTAGAAAATGCTGCAATTTTGAAGTGCTGAAAAAAAAAACTGCAAACGTGAGGTGACACATCCTAAAACTCTTTTAATGACAAAGAAAAATTACATTTAAGAAATATATTGATAATCTCGTTTGACGAATGGTGGCAGAACTGTGCAATGTTTTGACGCAAAAAAAAAAAAACACAGTACACGGTAAAAATAGCTACAGGTAAAACGTTTAGTTTAATGGCTAAACATTTTAGTGGCGTATTTTCAAGTAAAAATTGACATTAAACATTTTTTTTGCAAATTTACACTAAACAGAATTCATTCTTATGATGGCAAAGATGGTTTGTGATATTTTCATACTGTGTGATCAACAAAAATCCTCCTCTAATCGGTGTTAAATTTCTAGTTTAGCTCTCTCAATGTCCACATCTTTTTTGTTGATTACAGTTTCGTTGCTTGTTGAAATCAAATTTAAGAAGCATTTGTTGTGTGCAAGGAAATACTATAGAATATAAGTGCTAGGACATATGAATAAGTACTAAACCGTTTGAAATTTGGAATTAAATCTTCGTTCTTTCAAGTTTTTAAAAGATTCAAGTACTTCACGAGATAATAAAATAGATACGAAAACATGATTGGAAAGGACGTGGTATCTATTTTAAATTGCAACCGTATGCCGTATGATATACTCGTACTTTTTTTAGGACACACAAATTTTATTAATTAAAATCAAAGCAATCTTTTGTGGTTAATAACACATTAAACCATCATATTTTTACGATTTTACAATTACTTCGGAGTGCATGTCATTTGAACTGAAAAGTGTTAATGAACGAAAAGTATAGGTACTGCGAATTTATACTGACAACTTAATTATTTTGCTTTTCACGCTTAAATTTTCAATAATTTTCTTTCAAAAGAACTCCATATTATATTTAAGGTTTTGCACAAATCATTAGATGAGATGATATGGATAATTGTTGTCACTTTAATATAATTACCGAGCATTCTAAGTAATTGCAACTACATATTTTGTACAAATCATAAGTTAATTAAAGTCCCAGTAAAATGCTTCCAAGAATTCAAAATATTCCATTAAGAAAGTAGGTATATAATTTCGAAAATAATTCTTACAATGGAATGACACAACGATTAGATTTTTTTAAACAGCCAAATCTGCAAGTTTCTGATAAGTGTTACGGCGTCCTCATTTTTTGTGTGAACGTTAGGTGTTATATTAGAAACTCGTTATAAACCATCATGAAATTGTCATATTTGGAATTCCATCGCGAATCGTTCGTGTCTGTGTTAGGAAGAGTCGAAATAATTCAGTTCCCATATGAATAATATCGTGTAGATCCGGTTCTGGTGCGATTTGTTCTCACCGTGGTCCGTGTGTGAACGGTGTGCGGTACATCAGAGGCGCACCGCGTGGGGGGACCGGGGATGCCACCTACTGGTGCACCGCCGCAGTCGCAGCCGCATTCCTGCCCCACACTGCATTCGCCGGAGTCGGCGGTCGGCGGTCCGTTCATCAGCTTCTGAGAGGAAACAAACCGCTAACTAGGTAGACGAACGGCCGTACGACGAGACCCCAAATAGCCGGCACACGCCCGCTCTCACCAGCTCGAGACTGACTGCAGGAAATTCCTTCGGTCTAGGACAATGACTGACTGACTGCCCGCTCGGCCGGCCGTCGATTCTTTAATGGGAAATATATAACGGCACGATAAAAGTAACCAAAGGAACGACAAACAGAAATCAACACGGTCAAATCCAATTGACGACAAAATATGTTAGATTCATAACAAATTAGATCACAAAAATGGCAAATTATTAAATTTGGCATAAATATGTGACAAAAATTATTTAATTTCTAACATAAATTTACGCCGAAGAAGTTTACGATTCGGCTAAAAGGATTCGATGCGTTTGAGGGGTATTGTTCGCAAAAGAGTGCCTCAATTCTTTCAGTTCTTGAAACCACTTTGCGGATTCTAGTTCACAACGAATCTAAGATTACTAAATTCTCGGAGAAAGACATACCTATTTGACATGTTTGTGGAAATCATGTTGGCATTAGTAAAACCGAGACGCCTATTCCGACACGAGATGTTTTTTTTTTTGGTCGTTTACTAATTAGGCGTGCGGAATATGAATTTGTCGTGTGAATAGTTCCCATTCACACTTAGGTATCTATCGGTCTAATGTCGTTGTTGTATTCGCAAGACCTTCGAAGATGCACTGTTGCGGCAACTTATTTGAATATTACCATGTTTTCTTCGTCTCTAATAGGACTAGAAGCTTCGATTGACGGTTTTACGGTTGCATTCGACAATTCATTCGTTCGTTCATTCATTCATGGATACGAAATATTTCGGTCTAAAAACCATCGATTGCGATGTTACCCGTAGAATGACTGATACGCTGTTTTTACTCCGGTCTATGAATTTATTCTTTACAAAAATTAAAAAAGATAAACAATCGTAAATCGGACCAAATTGATTACAACTTTTGTCGATTCGATTTTTACATTTTTGTGCAAGCTTTCATTACCTAACATGCGCCCAGCACTTGCTTATATGTTCAAATCCATATACAACCACTACAAAATTAATGTTTTTTTAATGGTAAAAATTGTAGAGGACGTATTATATCTAATTCAGCTCTCGTATGAATATGGAAATCACAATCGAGCAGAATCAAATTAGTGCAATGATTGTAAAGGTATTAACAGCAGCAAGAGTTTAACATAAAATACGGTCTATTTCTCATGCCTGTACATACGTTTTTCAGAACAGTGTATGTAAAAAGGACGTTTTGATTAATGACAAAATAACTTTTTTTTTATTCACAGCATGTAATTTACAAAAATATTGGTGGTTTGTTTTTCTGTATCTGTTGCGTTTTAACTGATTAATTTAGAAATTTTGTGTGTACGTTTTTAGCCACAATTTATTTGCTTGGCTCTCCAAAAAATTTAACTCCCTCTGAAAATTTTGTTAGGTAAATTATACTTCTAAATATGCAGTATTACAAAGTTGTGATTTATTAGTAATTCATTTCCATTTTCAAATTCACGTGTGTACATTTACGAGTCATATCAACAAAAATCAAATTATGAATATTCCTAAATAAATGTGTTTTTATCAAAGTCTCAATGCACCACGTTCTCGTGCAGATTACTAACACTGTCCTTTATTAAAACAATATAGGAAAAAGACAGTTGACGCATTTACATCAAAATATTTGCCTTTGAATAGATTTTGTAATAGTTTATGTTATTAAAATAGAATAGTTGTAGCAACGAGTATCTCTATACAGACAAACTTAACTTAGAACCGAAGTACTAGCATTGCAACTTCTACATCAAGTCGATAGTAACCTGCCCTTTTAATATTGGCACGCACTTTTGAATGCAGATTTATTTACTACATTTGTTTCTACATACATATTGGTGTGTATAATGTAAGACTTATCAACGTTATCTTGTTCTAAGAATTTCTGAAACGGGAAAAAAATGGATATGTTGAGATCGAACCCCGAAACTTTTACATATACAAAGCGGACGTGACACCATTGAGGTAATTCCGTGTGCTCGCTACTGATGTTGATATTTTGTGTTTATATAACTTTGCTCGCAGAACAATGGAATAATAAAACGATATAAAAAATATGTAAAATTTTAATATATGTTCTGTAATCATTAAATGAACCTTAGTGTACACTAATACTTCAAAAAGTTAGTTCCAATCAAATAGTAAAACGTCATTTCATAAATGTTATTGTTGTTACGATTGATTATGCAAAAATGTAACCCTTATTACAGCACAAATAAAGGAGCACATTATAATATAATTTTGCGGCGAGCTTTACTAAGCAAATTTTTGGTGAGTTGCGCAGACAAAATTTTGGTTAGCGTTTGGTAAAACTGGATGGTAATCCAGATCAGTCTGTAAGTTCACAACTCCTGTCCTATCTGTCTAATAAGTCACACAGAGACAACACTCCACAAATAAAAATAAAAAAAAAAGTAACAAGTAAAATTACAGTTTCCTATGTTTATTTTGCAATTTTTAAAGAATGTACGGTCGTGGACAGTGAATTTCGTTCACCCAATTTCTTTGACAGAAAAAAACTCTAAATTAGCCCTTAGATCTTTCTAACCTTCTAATCTTTCTAATTTTTGTGAATTCGCGTGAATTGTGTGAAAGAAATTCACTGTCCGCGACTATACAACTAGAATCTCTCTCATGTTTTTGGAGAAATAAATAAAATAAATATCGAATTACATTTTTTTACAGAAACAATCGAAAGAAAAATATCACATCTTATTTGCTGTGGTGCATGGGATTCTGTATTTGAAATGAATGAGGTTGAAAAGCAAAAACTCAAAGTGCTTGGTGCAAGTGTATTTTTTTTAGTAATTGTCGAGATACATATAAATGATGTATATATATATATATATATATCACTTTTAATAGATATGCACTGTTAACAGTTTTAAAAATGTATGTATAAATAAAATAAATATTAAATAACGTAACACACAAGAAAACGAATTAATTAAATTTTATAAATTTATAATTTTCGAGTTTCAATAACTCCATGTCGTCGAATGGTGTCGATTCTTGATTTCGTTGCAGCTACAAGCTCCTGTACAGAGGCAACATCAATTTTTTTGATGCAGTATTTTATTCTGTTGATCAGTTCTTCGGTGTTTGTGTTCGATCACTGTACGAGCATAGTGAGCACCCGCTAGATAGGGCCAGAACACGTAATTGTCGTGTAAATGATATTTTCGTATAAAAGAAATTAAACGAGCTCGAAGACAGTCACGCATGTATGTTTGGGCATTAATAGCAAATCCAGATTTACGAATGAGTGAGGAGCTGATTTCTTTTGCACTTATTGCAATCCATACAAGAACTTTACCTTCAAATTTAGTTGTTGTTCGAAATTTTATTGCGCTGGGTATTGCCGAAGGGTTGCCTGAATAATAACCGCTGTTGCCAGAAATCATTGAATTTGTTAAAGTGAAGTATGA